GTACCGTCAATGTGGCCCGTTGAGGGGGCCAGTATGCTGAAGTGGCCCTCGGTGAAATTGAGTTTGACACCCTTGGGCTAGAGGATGTTGCTCTGAGGTCTCACTGTAAGGGTGTGTCTGAAGGAATTTAGGTTTTTAAGTGACATTTATCCAAATACATGAAGTCATTCAGTGGGTAATCAGAATCAGGGTTGATTTTCACACAAACACTCTGAACACAAGAGGGTCAAGTGGGCATGGTGAGATCAGAACCATAAAAATTTATTATTACTTTGAATGGTGACTGAGTGGGTCTAAGTCAATGTGAATTGAAATGACATGTGCAGGATTCAAGCAAAATAGGGCTGTGTGTGTGGCCTGCTTCTACACATAATGGATAGCTACTGAGGGAAAGGGTGCCAAAAATGCGTGCGTGTGCGTGTGCGCGTGTAATTACAAATGTGAATTTGTGAAATATTGCTCTCATGTGTGCAAACACCTAATAACTAATGCTGCCGGGTATGTGGGTGGAGAGCAAAGCAGCGATCACAGAGTCATTCTTCACCTCAAGGTTGGCGCTGTGGACACACACAAACACACACATACATCAAAGATGGACAGATTATTCTGCCGTGGTTGTCCTGTCTTAAGTCAAAGTCTTCATCAGCTCCTCCAGCTGGAACTCTGTCATGGATGCACGGTTACAATCCTGGACAGGCAGACCCCTTCGTTTACATTCCCCCAAACAATGGCATCTTCAAGAAAATAAAGAATATTAAGAAATTAATCACACAAATATATAAAGTGTTGCTTTATATCTATCTTGACTAAATCCTTCCTTCAATTCTAAAAGTTACAATTTATAATTCATTCTTTCCAAGCAGCCCCATCTTCTAAAACCTGTGAACTTTGAGTTTGACATGCAATGTCAGGAAGTCATTGCTTCAGTATCCTGGACAGTTGGTGCCCAAACCTTTACAGGAAAAATCAACAAGTTAAAAAAAAAAAAACACTTTCTAATAAAAAAATGGTTGATAAAACAACATCTGAGGAATCATTGTAAAAGTTGTTTCACTATGCAAGAAGTGTTTGACAAGAGAAATATTTTGTGTTTTTCATAAGTATTCTAATATTCAGCATCTTTTTTGAAAGGCCTCGTGTCAGTGGAAATCTGACCCATCAGTGCTATTCCTGAACTGTGGCTGCAGGTACAGAAAATTAATTCACGGTCACACTTTGAACATCCCTGCTATAGAGCATATAGAAATAAATATCTATGGTGAAGGAAAACACTGTTTGGGGTTAGTATTAATATACCTGGTCTTCTTTTTTTCTACTTTGGATATTTTTATCACATCGGATTCAAGGAAAATATCATTTGGCCACTTTAAATGATATATTTTTTAAATCTCTCTCTTTCTCACTGTTTATTCAATGTCACATGCTGTTTTTATTTTAATTATGTAAAGCACTTTGAAATGCCTTGCTGCTGAAATGTGCTATACAAATAAAATTTGATTGATTGATTTAACTGATAATCTTTTTAAACATCAACCATAGTTCTGATTTAGGAAATGATCTCTACACAGCAAAACAGTATTTAAATGGAATAGGGTTTCTTGTATTGTTGAAAAGTAGTAGGTCAATTCTGAGTAAATATTTTTTCTTTAAAATTTCAGCTATGCTTTTCTTATTTGAGGATTAGCAGTAGGTTGAGTAGTGATGTCAGTAAATGTTTCACACACCTGCAAATATTTACAGAAGCAGAAATCAAAACTTTTTATGAATGCTGCAAAGTAACCATCCTCCTGCTCATAATGTCTAACTTAACTTGCACCAATTATGACTGAGATGTTACAGCAAGAATTCACTGGTTACTTCCTGTTTTAATTTGTCTCCTTTTCCCTTCCTCACATGTTTTGTCTGCCTCTGTGATTAGCACACCTGTTGCCTGGTTGTCCCTCCTGTGTCAGATCCCAGGCTTTCTTCCTGGTTCTTATGGTTTTCATGCCTGCTTCCTGGTTTGTTTTCACATTCCAGCTTCTTTACGGACTGTATGACTTTCCCTGCTTCTGCTGCAAACATCTTGTCTTCTGTTGAGTAAGTAACTTTTTTGTCTCCATAATCTGTTTCTAGATGTGCATCCTGTGCTTCAGACCAGTTGCAATAGCAACCCACTTAGTTGTGTTTTGCAACTCCTTCATACATTTTTGTTCATTTTTGATGAAAAAAGCCACTTTTCTCTCATTTACCTTTCAGCAGTCAGAATTTAGACTTACTTCATAAGTTTCTAGTCACATTTTCTTATGCTTTCAAATATCTTTATAGCATTAATTGTCCCAAAACTGATATAAAAGAAAACTCTGCATGTCACATCCAGGCTGTGTATTTTCCATGAACATACTTTAAAAGCTGCTGCTGTTTCTCTCTTGGAGGTTCTACAGACTTGATATGCTGAGTTTGTGTATATCTTGTGTGCTGTTGCAGAAGTGGTGTGCACTGCATTGATAATTGCGAACATGAAGTGTTTGTGCTGCAGGTAGTGATAGGATTTTTTCCTGAGAACGGTTAGAATGGAGCAGCTGAAGTTGGCTCTTGTTTGTGCAGCAGAGCTGTGCTTCTTAAACTACAAGTTTCAAAGTGTGGTTTTCTCATGAAGCCTCACTTTGATGGAATTTGGGATCTTATGTTGAACACAAATATTGAGTAAATGCTTGCAAAAATGTTTCATTACATTTAAATATTTAATAATCCATTCATTTCATGAAAACAGGAAGAGGAAAGGACATGAATGAGTCATTGTGTGTAAACTGTGTAAGCTGCAGGATGTCTGGAATAAAACACGACTGCAATCTGATGCAGTTTAAAGTCTATAGATCTTTCTTTTCTACTACTCTGGTAAAATATTGAAATTTGCCTTAATTTAGTGACTTTGCATCGGTGACCATTCTGAGTTACTGTGTTTCCTTCATTATTTTGTTTTTTTATGAGGACTGTTTATTTATTTTTTTACAGTTTCTGCAGAGACGTTCCTGCTTTGAAAGTCTCTGTTTCTGCAGCCCCTCTCGGAAGCTGTATTTAAAAACGTCCTTTTAGATCCAAGTTTTGTCTTCCTGTCTGTGCTGATGGTTAATTTTAAAGCCGGCAGCATGTGAGCACAGTGTCCTGCTTGTGCATCCATTAAATTACTGGTGTCATTTTGTAACAGGCTGTGTGTTTCGGATCCTGTGCAGTGACCCCTAATGTCACCTGTATCTACATGCATGGACACAGTCTCATGCATCCATAAACAAACATGTAAGCTCATTATAAATTAATCAATGTGTCCACATTCTTGTCAGTACAGTGACCTTAGTTCATATCCAGGCTTTTTATCTTGTACAGGTGTAAGGAAATGTGAGTTATATCAGGTGTTTAATTATTCATTAGTTTTTCCTAAAGCCACAGAGTGTGGAAACTGATTACCTGCCTGTAAGCACACCAGTTGCAGCTACTAATGTTTGAATTCTAACACAAGAACCATGCTAAAGCATTAATAGACAAAATATGAAGATGCATCTCAATATTTATAGGATCCCTGATGTAGTGAAACTAATAGCAGTATATAATATGTTAAAATCCAGCCCATGGCAAAGGGTCGAACCTTATACTTATACTTTGTACTGTCATGAGATATATTTTTCTAATTTCTACTTTTCGTTTTATAGATCATGTTCTGTATTTGGTGTTTTGCTTTTTGCCATTATTTTGATCTCAAAACTACCTTTTCATAGGGTGAAGAAATTAAAATGTAGTAATTTAATAGGATAAAAATCTGACATTTAATAAATTAGTATTCTCATCCCAACAATATGTTAAGATTGAACCACATGGGTAAAAACAAATTCTTACAAAGTGATTTGGTCTTGTATCTAGTGCAAGGCAGCCTTCCTCATTTTTAGGAAATATTCAGAAATGTTGGCTGATGATGAATACTTAATAAAGGTGTGAGCAACTAGAAAGCATTTGTCTCGTTTTTATGGCAAAGCAATATTTCTCTTCTTTTTGCATTCCTACTGTTATTTCTGAGATGTACCATAAATCAAACACTGTGTGACATCAGTTGCAGGTGTAAAACAGCCGTCCTGTTTTTTTTCAGAACGAACATTAAGTAGGAAAGGTCAGAGAAAAGAGCTGACATGGAGTCTGCTGGCAGGACAGAGCTGTGCTGTCCTCCATGGTCCACTTGGATATTGGCTATCTTTGATCAGTCTCATTATTCAGCTTGTTCCACTGAGAAAAACAATGATTTTTAGACTATTTAAATAGATTTGTATTTTTAAACGACTGAGTTTTTGTAGTATGTAAATTAAAACCACTGAGAAGGCTTCCCTTACCCCATGCTGTTTGTTTCTGTAGAGGGGTGAAAAACAAGTTATTGGTAAATAAAAACAATAATTAAGAAAATAGGCACCCCCAACATAATTTTTAATTTTGTATCTTTAATTTCTTGTTGTAATAAGTTCTTCAGTGTCATTTTAGTTAGTCCTATACAATTTCACACACAACCGCTAGGGGCGCTGTCGTATTGGTGGCATAGAGAAGACTGAGCACACGAGAAGAATAAATCTTCCGTTTGAATGTGAAGGAAGCTCAACGTGTGTCTCGTCTTTCTCATATCACAGGTCAGTAAAAATATAGTTTTATACATGTACATTGGTTTTCTTGGAAAAATTGAAAAGGTTCTTAAATCGAATCTCAACTAATGAGTCGCGTAGTTCGTTTTGTGATTGTTATTGTGTCCAAACACGAGACTTGTTCTGAAGGCTAATTGGAGCTAATGCTAGCTGAGGAGCTAGCTGAAGGACAGTGGCGTTCATTTGAACTTGTGTTTTGCACTTTTAGAGAGTTCTCACTCAAAGGACATTATTTTGGTTTCTTTATTTTATTTTATTTGATGCTTCTTTATGGGTTTGTTGAAAAAACCAGATAAACCATATATTTAGAACATCTGTGAAACGGAGTACCGAGGCACAGCATTAAAGTAGTATTGCGCCTTTTCAGTTTTATATTAAGAGTAGAGTTTGTTATGCAGGATGATGGTGATGTTAAAAGCTAAGATGCTTAAATGTTAAAATATATTTTATTTGTGCTGATTAAAAATGGTAAAAGCTATTAAAATAGTTAAAAGCCATTTTATATATTTTTATATTTTTATTTTTGATAAATAAATACCTTGTCCTCTCAGAAAAGAGGGCAAGGTATTCAATTTAAAGCACTAACTACAAAATTAATATGGTTTAGAGAAGTAAAAGCTATTTGTGAATTAGTTTTGTCAGTTGATAGAAGTCCTAATGCTAAATGGAGCATGTTAAAATAATTGTTTGGTTTAAAGAAATATTACAGCCATTTCTGATGTAATGAAGTTAATGGTTCTCTACTGCAGTATGAGATACCTGAAGTTTGTTGTATATGAAGTGTTTATAACGCAGAAGAAGAATTAATCTTCCAGTTGAATGTGAAGGAAGCTCAATGTGTGTGTCTGGTCTTTCTCATACCACAGCATCACATGTTGAGGGAAGATCATCTTATACATTACCCTACATTACCTGTTGGTATTTATTAATTAATCTGGGTGTAATATTACTCCTCAGTATATTGACTGGAGAAATCCAGCATCCTACCTCAGAGCGAGAGTGACTGTTAAAGAATTGAAAGATTTCCCATATATAAACATGATCAGGTTTGATGAATTTAGTTAACAGATTTTTCATCTGACCTGCCAATAAATGCTGGGAACCAATCAAGAAAAAAATATAGCTACTTGGTTTGCTTACTAATGCACTAAGAATCACAAAATGTTGTGAAATTTAACTTGATTAAATACATCTGATGCAAAATGCAACTGACAGAATAATTGTCGTAATGTAAAGTAAAAAAAATGAGATTTTTTATGAAGACAAAATTTCAGGACCTCATACCCAGAAGTTAATTGTGTGATGTTCTGCTAATGTCTGTATGATAAGCATCACTGCAGCCATACTTTGAGCAAATTGAGGCGTTTCATAGTCTAATTTCAGTGAAAATGGATCCATTTGTCTGTGTTGAAACAAAATACCAGACGTCCTTTTACATCTCACAATGCTACTTGGTTTGTGTCAACACCAGGGCGCTCTAAATATTTTAACATGCACTTTCATATTTAAAATTGGGTATGGATACACCATGGTACTTATCCCTGTTGACTAAAACATATTTTCTTTTCCTCCATTTCTCATCAGACTTAATGACTTCTTCCAAATGAAAGCAGACATTTGTTGAGTGCTTGCTTGAGGTCACACCTGCTTGTTGGTTTCAAACAAGCAATCCATCTAAATAATCTGAGCCAAAGAGAAAAAGAAAGCATTATTAAAAAGCAGCTCTTGCATTAAATTCCCCTCAGAGATTTGACATGCCACTTAAAGGACAAAACAGAATAATTCTCCACAAATTACCGCCTTAAAATGCATTGATTTATCCCAGAAAGCATCAGCTCCATTAATGTTGACATAAACCAAATCTAGGCATCTTGGATGTGTGTGGTTTTGGCCTTTTAACTCTCAGAGCAAGTGTTGGATAATATCTATAGGAAATAGGCCAAAAGCAGGATTTCTTTTAATTAAAAAAGATGTGATGGGGTGATAATGGAGCTTGAGCCTCATTTGTAGTAATTAATGTTTATTCGGTCTTGAAGGACTGGATGTGTGACAGCGGGGGATAAATAACACTTGCCACTGGACACTAACATGATTATAAAAGTATCTGCTATTATTATGTTCACAGCAGGATCTGCAGGGGAGTGAGATTGACTATGCTAATCACTGCAAAATCAGATTTCACAGAGAAAGTAGGAGGTCAAATATTTTAGGAGTAAAAAATATTATCTCGGTTATGAAACTGGTATTCTGAACAATGCTATAAAAACCAAGTCAAATTCAAAGTACTTGGTGCAAATCCTGTTTGCCTATATTTTGTTACACAGCAGTTAATAATTTTAACTTGCACCCTCAAAGAATCAGTATAAACTGTACAAGAACAACTGACTGATGAAGATGAAATCAGCTTTTTAAAAATGGCAGCACAATTTTATTTTACATCCTTACTTAGACATACACAGTAAACCACGTTGGCAGGTCGAAGTCATTGGTTTAAATGTGAATGTGTAATCGGTCTGGAGCAATGATGTCTCAAGCACTCAGCATCCATTTGTTCCATTCTCATTGTATGGGATAATTTTAAGCATTTTGAGATTATCCATGAAATATCTCAGGTTAAGAGTCTGCTGACTCTAGAGAAGTCCATGCCAAAAGATCTAGACCATCTATGAGCCAAACATTAAACATGCAACAGGTCTAGTAACTTTCTTTTATTTACTCCATTCAGCTTCCTTTTTTATGCATATAAACAAATCCTTTAACTCACCGAACACTTGGACTTTAATTGGATGCCAGTGTTGCACATCTTCGTTGACTATTTGGAAATAAAATTGTTAGTTGGAGTAAATGATATGGTTAGTTTATTTTTCTTTTTCTTTGGAGAGAAGCTGGTAATGTCTTTCCAAAGAAGCTAATGTCTGTTTATTGTTAACACATCCAACCAAAATAAGGTTGGTTGGACCTTTTTTTGTGTGCTGGTGTAACATCATGTTGGCACAGGAAGGAGAGATCTGCAAACTGTTCCCAAAACGTTAGAAGCATGAAATGATTCAAAATGTCTTGGTGAAGTATTAACAGTTCTTTCCTCTGTAACTAACAGGCCAAACAAGACTCCTGAAAACGGATCCACACCAAAATCCCATCTGTTTGACACGATGCTGCCTGACAAAGCAAAGTTCTGGAGGCCAAACCCAGTTTCAGTGGCTTGCATGGGTAAGCCAACACCTTTGTCAATGTTAGCCTTAGCTGTCTAGTGTTTCTTAGACCTGGTAATCATAACACTTTACATGTTTTTCACAAATTACTCTTCAGGTTCATTCCAGTTCCAAGTCTTGAATGAATCATTAATGTTCTTAGCGTTTTCATTTTTAGGCTTTGTCTCTAGATAAATACTCTTTCATCATGTCTTTGCAAGTTTGGTTAGTACTTCCTGTTAATGTAGAGGTAGTCGCTCATGTAGACTCATTTTATGGACTTCTGACTAATTTGTGATGGTTCTTGTGTTGGAAAGTCTGATTCTTTAAACTATCCATTCCAGCAAATCTTTGATTTGAGTTTTTCAGTTAAAGAACTTTTTTGTAAAATGGAGTATAACATTTCTGCATTTCCAACTTCCTAACAGCTGTGTAGGCCTAGTTCCACCATATTGGCATATTTTTGTAGCTTCTGATGTTCAATCATCCTTGAGGACACTTTCAGTTGGTAAAATGTTTCAATCTTAGGCTAACAATAAATAAAATAACATAGTTAATACTAGTCATTTTCTCCAAGGAATCCAAATGTAACATTCAGAAGGGCAATCTTTTACAAAGAAAATATATACTTCAGTTAGGAGCAAATTGAATGTCTCCAGGAATGTGAGAAATTGAGTTTCTTAAAAAGCTTGGTCTTTGGTTTGTTTCAAGTGAAACACAGATTTTTAGTGTGTCCTGGGATTTATGTGCAACACCATTTAATTTAGTTTGTTTATATAGAACTGGTTCACACCACAGTATCACCTCAGGGCACTTTACTTAAAAGCAACTCATGCTAGACAAAAAGGGACTCACTTGTGCCAAACTCCAGGCAGCACTTATTGTCATTCATGTGTGCAAACCTTTCTGCTTTGAATGTCTGTCTCAAAGAGCGTTGATCGACATAAATTTTAATGCAAATGTCTGCACTGAGGAAAGCTTGGATCACCCACTGACATACCCAATAGCTTTCTCCAAAAACTAAAGATGTTCTTTGTTGTGAATTGAGGAATCCCATTAACCTTTGGGAGCTTTGTACTTTTAAACTGAAGTCTTTGTGTTGCTGGGTGAGGGTTTGATGATAATCGCTCAGGCTTTGGAGCCTTAATACAATATGTCAAGCTGGTTGACAGAATTTTCATGCCAATTACGTCTTTTGGTTTATTTTTGACATATTTTTTGTTTATATTTGCATGCGCATTTCTGAATGCATCAACTGGAAATGTCACAGACAGAAAAGCTTAGGACTGTCTGTATGCTGCTGATTTAAAAACCAAATCACAGAATATCTCGTCGGTTGCATTTCCTCTGAATGTTTTGACTACTCTTATGTTCTTGTGACAAGATAACTTGAGATGGCGACTTATTTGTTTTTTAATTTGTGATTTCTGAATTATTCTCTGCCCTGACATTGTAATAGGACAACTTGGAGTGAAACATTGCCTTCTTTATTTATCTTTTGGAGTTATCTGTCTCTGAACATTAAGTTATTGGCAGTAATAGCTCAATCGATGTGCCCTTCCAGGAAGATGTGAGACCTCAGAAGACATGCTGGGCCTGCGGTGACTTCTACAAAAGCAAAAATTAGAGGCAAGAACACGTAGTTAAAGGAGGCAATGCAACTTGAATGGGCAAATATTGGCAAGACATTATATTCTAATAGACTTTGGCATGTTAATAAGAGTGTCTGTATATTGTGAACACATTTATTTTGTAACATCAATGTCTTTATTAGATTACAAACCAGCAATAATATATTAGATGTGACCTCATTTAGCCTCCATGGCACAAATTAAAATGCATTACTTCTTTTTATCGGTCTGAGATTATCGGAGACTGAAACACTCATCTTTTAATAACAAATACTTGAAATAAGGGAAATTTAAAAAATATTAATGCCTTTTAGTATGTGGTAGTTTAGTTTAAATCTTGGCAACTCAAAATGTTGAAACATTTTGTCTTTAGAATCAGAGAGAAGGAGGTGAACGTGTGGTTTTCAGTCTCTCCTCCTGTGGGTTGGACTTTTCTGTGAAAGCAGCTCATCTTTATTCGACGGTTAAGGGTGTTGTAAATGTGATTGATCTTACAGGCTTTGTGGTGATTGATTGGCTGACGGGTATTCATAATTCAGCTTGAGGAAAGATAAAGTACATTTTAGCAAAAGCTATCTGGATGATGTCTGAATGGGCTTGTATTATCCCACTGACATTTCAAGTCTTAATATTTTATCCCAGTAATTACCTGAACATACCTATTTGGTTTAATTTTGCCAGTTTCTGACAGGTGAATCCATATCCTGTTTAAATTGGGACGGATTGCTTTAGATCTGAAATTTAAAAAAAGTGGCATTCTGGCTCAATTGATTATTTTATCACCTTGTGAATGAGCCTCTCTCCACCACTGATGTATTTCCTGAGGGAAAAGCGGTTGAGCAGATTATGGTGGTGGTGGGGAGGGCTCTGGAGCCGGGGAGGCCGCAGCAGACTTCAGTGTCTAAACTGTGTTCAGGGGAGATTGATAGCTGTTGTAGTAAATGTACTGTACACCCCAGTTATTATTCTCTGAATTATAACTGGATTTACAAACACAACTATAAATGCACAAACTCTGTTGCTGATTTAGGATGGTAGTCTTTTGTTTGAGTTACTCCCTTTAAACACACACATGCACAAAAGCAGCATTTACTGATCCCTGCAGAGATATCTGTTGTTGACGCAGCGCTGAAGTCTTTGTGAAGCCTGTATCCCCTTTCACCTTCAGTCCCAAATCAAAGATAAATAATTCCCTTTTAAAGATGCTTTTTATTCCACAACATTTTCTTTTCTGTTGAGCTGGGCTCAAACATGAGGCATTTCTTTAAACCTTGTGGGGGCTAAAATGTCCAACTCATCCTTCTTCCGCTTCCTCTCGGCTTGTTGGCGTTGCAGGTACAACAATGGGCTACAAAACTGACAGTCGCCAAGGGTACGACAGCAACAGCTTCCTGGTGTCACCTTGGTGATGGCTGCTCAGTGATGGAGGAGGTTGTTAAGTAGAGGCGACATGCGATACTGTCACAGCAGGGAGCACAGAACCGGATGCCAGCTTCCTAACTGTTGACATTGAGCCCTTTAATGCCAGGTGGAAAAGCCCTTCTGCCATTCAGTTCCATTTTGAAGTCATTTTAGTTAACTTCTAGATGAAACGTGTGTGTGACAGCCCAGGGTCTTTTTTGTGTCCTGTTTTTGGCATTTCAGTGATGCCATACAGATAGAATGGTTGTCTACACCTACCAGGACAGATCTCTTCTCTCAGGATATCTGAAGATTGTTTCCTGATTGGATGATTGACTTTATTAAATCAACACTGCACACAGCATCAAAGTGAGCAGGCCACAGTGACGGACCTGTGTGTTTCTCTGTCCTTCAACCATTTGGACTATATATGTGTGTATCTGCACCATCTTTTCTGTGCAAAGCTCTGGCGTTTGTAGTGACTTACCGTGAACGCTGCAGTCAGGGGCGTTCAATTACACAGTCACTCATAATAAAAAGGGAGAAATGCCAATAGCAATGAATTCACCTTGGCCACAAATACTCAAAAGTCGATGCTTGTTGCTGACACAATAGAACTTATAGCTGTTGTCACTAGTTCAATTGCCCTAGCATTAAAGCTGCAGCATGTTTATTTTACAAAAAATGTATTTTTAAATATTTATTTAAAACTGTTACTGTGTTGGCACAGTTGTGCTCCTCTGCGTTCTCCCAGTGCTCCTACTGCCATCTGCAGAAATGCACTGCTCAGTCAGGAACAACCAGTCAGAGCCAGGAGGAGGATCTTAGTGCCGTCATTCAAGCGTATTACTACACTGCTCAATGTAATAATGAAGAAACTATTTACTGTTCAGCAAAACGTCATCGGCCATCATCAATGGCTAAGCTCTAGCAGCACATACACAAGCATGATTGACAGTGCTAAGACCATTTTTCATTTTCTTTTTTTTTCTTTCTCATACTGTCACAATATAGTGACAGCTTGAAAAAATATGGAGAAAACATAATTCATGAGAAAGTTGCATATTGCAGCTATAAATATTGGAAAGGTTTTTCAGTTTTATTAATATTTTGAATGGATAAATTTAAAGTTCCAAACAATTGTTGAAATTTATTTGGAATTTCAATATGCTTTACAGTATTACCACATTCAACACACACACCTGGGCGTGCACACAAAGTGACAAGCAACTTAAATCCAAGGTGTTCAACCAAATGAGTTTGTTTTCAGAGACGTCCACATCTGTAACCTGGAGATCTTGAGTGGAAGGCATACCTTTCAAATTAAAAGCACAATCTAAAGTTTGTAAAAAGCCTTTAAAAACTTTCATATTTCAGGGCTGCTGAATTGACCAACTAGTTCCCAGCCAAGTAAAGTAATTATATGAAGAAGAATCATGTGTCTAGATTGTTCTTGCTTTCATGTACTTTTTATTGCATTATGCACAGCTGTGTAATGCAGCAGGACATATTTTTACCCTCTCTTCACTCTGACATCTCCATTGTTCTTTCATCCACCATTTGGAGGAACATGTCTTGATGGGAGCCTTTTCTTTTATTGTGGCATATCCAGTTTTTATTTCAGCTTTAATTAAAGAAATCAGATTTTCATCACAGCCTTCTTATTTTCCGCAAATTCTGCATCTTACTCATCCTCCCCGACCCTCTTTTATCATATTCATCCTCTTCATTGCTCTTAATACTTTGCAGTACCACTCAGCCGCCTTATCCCACTTTGACACCTTCCATTTTATTCTGTTGAGCCAAGACACAAAACAAAGAAATGACCAAGTGTAGAGAGATGAAAAACGCCCCATAGTATCCTTTTAACCCGTCAGTCCTGTCATGTACGTTCTCTAAGAGTAGTTTGTCCTTACCTTACCCCTTAACAGTTTAGTCTATCCATATTACATTGATCCAGTCATCTGTTGATCCATTAAACCATTTATTCAA